GCTCTGACTTACTACAGAGAATTCTTTCCCAGGTGTCTGGTTCATACATCTTAGGCCACATGCTCAGGGTCTAACTGATTGCCATATATGGGATTCAGAAGGAATTTTCCACCAGGTCAGATTGACAGAGACCCTGGTTTTTTGGTTTATTTTTTGTTTGCTTTCCTTTGCAGCATGGGGCACTGGTCAGACACTGGATTGAAATAGAATAAACGGTGGATTCTCTGTAACTTCAAGTCTTTAAATCAAGATTTGAGGACTTCAGTAACTCAGCCAGAGCTTATGGGCCTGTGGCAGGAGTTGATGAGTGCAGGCCTGAGATCTGCAGGAGGTCAGAGTAGATAATCATGATGGTTCCTTCTGGCTTGAAAGTCTGAGAGTCAATGAGTATTAGGTATGGGACTGAGCCTCAAAAGATATGAACTCTAAACCTTACTTGCCTTCTATATCCCAGGGGGTTTGTGAGAGTTAACAAGCTTGTGTTTGTAAATTGCTTTGAAAACAATTTTCAGATATCACTGTTTAGCTTACATCATACATGTGTATCAACCGTTTAAAAGTGGACTAAAAATAACAAAGTAGTTTGATAAACAAATGTCCAAAAGCCAGGAAATTCAGAGTTGGCTCCAGTTGGAAAAAAAGAAAAGGAAGTATTAAAACACAGAGTCAAGGTCTTCATATATCAGCTGTCTTCCTGTCACCACAGGTAAAATTATGTGAAGTCTATGACAAATATTCCATCTAGTTAACATATTAAACCAGGCATCTTAAACATATTCACCACAGATTACACATATATGGACCTGGAAAAAATGGCAAAACCACAATTAGTTATCACATATTCATTGTCACAAAACCACTTTTTGTGGTTTTTCATTTTAACATTAATATTTATATGACCATATCCCGATGAAAGGAAAGGCAACCACAGTTAGTCAAGGCATCTACAGCATTCATTATACTCAGCACTGTATGAAAAATCAAGGATGTATATTACCAGAACAAAACTGAGAATTTTCAACTCAAATGTAATCTCAGTGCTCCCATAGCCTGTGAGAGCTGAAGATCTACCAAAATGTTACATACAAAACTAGATGCTTTTGAAAATAAGTGCCTACAAAATATCCTAGTCATTGGATTGAAAGACTTCATCATTAATGAAGAGATCCAAGAAATCACCAACCAGCAGTTTGCCTCCACTAGAATCAAAAGGAAGAGCTAAACATATCTGAGGCACATACTCCAGCTTCCAACACAGACTCCCTTGTGAAGTTATCAAGTAGAAGTTAACTGGTGTAAGGAAAAGAAACTGTCCAAGAGAAACCTTGAGAAGAACCCTTAGCAGAGAGTGCAGAACACAATCTTTACACCATAGAGCACATGGAAGCAGCAGCAAATGGGAAACAGAAATAGAGGAGACTACTGTCTGTCCTGTGAGCCAACATTGGCACAGGAAAGATATAATGTAAACAGGGGTGACAGGTTTGTATAATTTTTGGTGGTGCCCAGAACAAGTCCCGCTCACCCACCCACTCCCCGCCTAAGGCTCTGGGAGGGAGTTTGGATGTGGGAGGGGGTTTGGAGTGCGGGCTCTGGGATGAAGTTTGGGTGCGGGAAGGGTTTGGGCTCTGGGAGGGAGTTTGGGGTGCTGGGTGCAGGCTCTGAGATGGGGTTTGCATGCTGGTGCAGGCTCTGGGCTGGGACAGAGGGCTATGGACGGGGAGTTTGGAGTGCAACAGGCAGGCTGCGCTGGGGTGGGGGTGCAGAGAGGAGGACTCCCCCCAGCCCTCTCCCTGCTAGGAACATGTAACTATTATTTTGTTTCTGAGAAGATTCAATGTGGGTGGTATTGGGTAATATATGGTATCTATATCTCCTTAGATATGGACAGATTTCTTCTTTTCTCAGGGTCTACATTGCAACTGAGGCTTGGATGAAGGCTAGCTGACTAAATGCAATCCATCCAAAATATGGCAAGGTATGTTTAGGCTTAAGGAAACATTCAGAGAAGAATGATATTTGTCCATTCTATAGGATTCTGTTAATAGAGAATGGAATTTAGGGGTTCTGTGGGATCCCTAGTTGCTTTTTATTGGCATTGGGATTATATTGTTCTTTGATTCTTTAGAAAATTCAATTAAAAATCAATTCCAAAAAACATCAAAAGTAATTTATTTCCATAGGCCCTAGCCTATTCAACGAGCATTGTTCTGAAACACTAAAAGTGGTCATTGGGGAAAAAAATACACGAACAAAAATAGACTTGGAAATAGCTTGAAAAAAATAAATTTATATTTATACACGAATGCAGATGCTTCTCCATTAGAAAGCTGGAAGCCATATGGATTCCACTCGTGCATGACACTTGCTGAAAGAACATTTAAACATAGGCTCTTTGCTTAAATGGCAGATTTTGCTCTCACATCTAATGCAGCAGATCTTGAATGAGTACAGTGTTCCACTCTTCATATAGGCAGAGAATTTCCATTGGTATCAATAGTAGTTGCCTCCTTTGGAGGACACAATCTCAAGATTGGCCTTGAAGATGTTTTAAAAAGAATTGTCCCCTTGTGGAGTGGAGGTTTGAAGTAGGACACACTTGTAGGCTATACCATTATTTTTGTGCTTCTACTCTTGTAGGCATCCCCTGGCCCCCCACCCCCCAAAACAAACAAACAAAAACAACCTTATCGTCAGCAAGAGTGACACTAGAGAGATCTTCATCCCCCACACCCTACAACGAGGAATGTGGCTTAACAGTCTCAGTAAATACTTTAAATGTATAACTTCACTAGAAAGATCTCACGCTTTATATTATGGTTCCATTTATAAATAGTTTTAAAGGGTTAATAAAGGTTTAATAGCTGTTATAAATATGTTATAGACATGAATATTATGTGTTACAAATGGTTATAATTACATCAGTAGAAGGTATTGTAGATGGTTATTAGCCATGGTTATAAATAGGCTTGGAAGGCTTAGGTTATTATTGGTAAATTCCACCATACACACACAAACCAAAGAGAAAATAGTACCATCATTAATAACCAAATCTACGGATAGGCAAAGTAAGCAAAATGCTTTTTGAGAAATTATTAGGATATTTACTTTGTATATTTTGGCAAATGATGTTAACAATTTGTATTTTAACTGTTACAAAATTCTACATTTTTGAATCTCAATGTTTACTGTCATTAAATAATTATTGTCTGACCCTTCATAATTTCCTGCAACTGTGAAAATGTTAATTGAGAAAAAAAAATAAAATCCTTAAAATCCATAATCTTGTGCAACTGTGAAAATCGTAATGGCTAAACATAAAAAAATACTTAAAAATAAAATTTCTAACATCCATGAACATAAAAAAAATCAAATCAAATCAAATTCTGTCAAGCCAATTGAACTCTAGAAGTATCTTGTTGTAGTGATTCAGGTTATTCAGCAGGCGTTAAAACATCTAATAATCATTTATTAACTCTTTTAAAACTATTAATGGAGTTTGAATATAAAGTGTGACATGATAACATTGACAGTCAACTAAAAATGATTCTATAAAAACTCTTTTCTACTTTAAAATCTTTGACAACAGATTAGACTTTTGTATGCACAAAATGATTGTTTAAGAAAGTAGCCATTGGTATTACTATCACTTGTGTCCCTGAAAGAACATTTCAACACTGAACCAAATTCGCCATTTATGTAAGTGGATGTAGCTTCATTGACTTTAATAAGTTATGCATGCCTATGCCAGTGGTTAACGTGGCCCATGGTAGTTGTTTGCGAATAAAAATATCCTTACAAATTATTTATTTCTAATTTCATTTGTCCAGGTGATTACTTTGTGCTGAATAAATAGAAAGGATGCTCCAGGGTGTGAAATTCACCCCTGTCTAGACAACCAGCACAATGGACTGTACCTATGTAAGTCCTACTTGAACCCTGTTTTGGGAGTAAGTGGTGCATAGGCCTTCTGGTGACCATCTGCATAGAGATGAATTTTACACTACCTAAGAGAGATGGCTGGAGCTTTAGGGTTGCAGTGCACTGATGAATGAATACCCAGTACCACAGAAAAAAAAAGGACACCGTGTGATATTACAATATTATGTGTGTGTGTGGGGGGGGTGTCTACTGTTGAGATACACAAGAAATTAAAGTTGATAGATTTTTGGACACATTTCTATCAAGAAACTTTTTTTCTCTTTTACTGATTTAACCACTACTAAAGAATAAAAACTTCATTGTACTGCACTTTTCAATCTTCCAGTTTGATTTATCATGCTCAAAACTGACCCTTTACTTGGCACACATGCATGTTTAGATTTTTTTTCTGTTTTAATTTTTCAGCTGAGAATTATATTAACTGATATGGATGCTTGGCACGGAACTCCCAGAACTGAGCCTATCTGAGAGATTTCAGGGCTAGTTTTTATTTGATCCTTCCAATATTCTGAACCATAACAGACATGACACCTGCTAACAATGAAGTATGAGGTGAATTGCCAGATATAACATAGCCCTCTTCTCTGGCTCTTCATCAGTGCACACCAATCTAGCAAACATGGGACTCTGATTACCCCTTTGAGAAGAATTCAGAGAAAACAGACTGAATATGGACAAGAATTTCAACTTGCCCTTCTCTAGGCTTTTCATCCATATAATCAGCCATTATATGAGTCACTTCACTGATGATCCTAACAGAAGTGCCTAGTTCAGACAAGTTTAATATTGGGTTCTACAGCCCCTACTTTTTTTGACTAGTACTTAAGCATGTAAGTGGTTCCACTGAAGTTAATGGAGCCACTTGCATAAGGAAGGTTTACAGAATCAGATTGAGGAAGCTAATTTAAAAGCAATTCAACACTCTTTATATTTATGTTTCTCTTTCTTGTTTTACAGTATTTTCTCATCATCTTGTCAAGATTAACTCTGAAGAAATACTTCTCCAAGAACTAAGCAGCTGAGATCTTGTTGCATGGATTGAAAAAATCAACACAGATCAAATTGTCAATAGAAGTGGAGCAGGTTAGTTCATCAAATAGCGTGTCTTTTCAGCATGTTTGCATAATATGATCCTTCCAGACCGTTACGACTATCTCTGAATGACAATTTATCATTAAGGGGAAACCCTAACAGCAAAGAGAGGTAATTCTGTTTCATGGAAAAGTTCCATTTTCTGAAATTTGTCTTTTTTTCCAATTTGGGACAAGCCCCCAAATGTTCAAAATTCTCTGCAACAGGGGGTAGATCCCAGCGTGGACCAGCCCACCAGGCAGACTTCCTTGGAGTTGTGGACCACAGGGCTTCCAAGATCCACAACTCTGAGGCAGTCTGCATGTAGGGGCTGCCCCAGAATTGTAGACCCTGAAACTCCAGCAGGCAGATTTATCAGAAACTAGGGAGTCAAACTGGCAGGAAACCAGGCAGGTTTCCATTGAACCCTACCTTGGGTTCTGTTGGAACTTCGTCAAAAACTCCACAATTTTGATAAATTAGTAAATGTTGATGAAAAACTGTTTATCACAATTCCTACTCAAATTGAGAGAGGGCAAAAGTATAACAATTCAGTGTACATGCATTTCTTCAGTTGTATTGAAGAAATGTGCTACATAACATTTAAGAGCTTATTATGAGCAAATTATGTGACTGTTTTGTGGTATTATGTATGAAAAGGTTAATCTGATGCATTATCTCCAGTCAGTTCCAAAGTAAAGCAAAAACTTCATTGGGAAAGACATTGCCATAAAAAGATTTTATATTTTAAAAAAGAAATCCAGTCACTTAAGGTCCAGATTCTGCTACCCTTATTCACATAGATTAATAACTCGCTCCCATTGGAACCTACATGACTGTGTTATATTTCAGGAGAGTTTTAGAAACAATATTAAATAAATGCCCTAAGGTATCACTAAGCTATAGTAAAATAAATAACATGAATAAGCTACTGTGTCATAAAGGTGAATGGGAAGTATTAATGTCAAATCTATTTGTTTTTACCAATATATAGTACATTGTGGTTTAGTTTAGTTTTCTAATAGGTACCTTTCAATTTCTAGACAAACTAAACTTACTGTTTCTAAGGCCTCCTCTGCTTCTCTGTAAATTTATGCAACATACAATCTGATTTATACACAATGGGGAGGGAAAGAGGGGCACCATGCTTGTTATGCTAAGTCCTTTTTTGAGACTAGGCCTGAAAGCTGTCTGCTTAAGAAATAAAAAGGAGTGGACCAGCCAAGGGTTTTATCATATTTTGGCCTGTATGAGAGTGGTGCAGTATGAAGAGTGAGGTGCTCAAGAAGAATTCTTCCCTGACCTGCCGTGTTCATAGGGCAATGTGCCCAGTGCACTTTCAGATGGTGCAATAGAATCCTCTCTGAGCACCTGGCCAGCCCAATGGGCTAGTCTACATAGGCCAAAACCCACTTCCTCACATCCCTTTGGCATGGTTTGCATCCCTGGATTGTGCTGTTAAGGAGCAGGCTTTCTTTTCAAGAGAGCACAGGCACAGTAATTGCATCCAGGTACTGTGAGGGGCAAAAAAAGAAGAGAAGGCTTCTTGCATCCTTGTCTCTCCTTTCATATGCTTGATAAGGCTATGCACCAAAAATTATAAGCATGACTGCAGTGCATGGAAGATCCACCCCCCACCCCAGCAATAGTTAAACTAGAATACAATTATTACAGTCTGGAATATTTCAGAGCTCATATTGGTGAATATTTTTCAAAACACTTCTTCAGTGAAAGGAATATACGAGGAGTATCAGTGTCCTGCTACATCTACTAAAACTTTGATTCTACAAACTAAGGCCCTGATCCAGTAACTGGATTTGCATAGTGTGATTGCTTGGGTAACCTGTCTGTATGGCTTATGAATTCCAGTTGATGTTACACCATTGTTAAATTGTATTATGGAACGTTTCTTTTGGAAGTGGAATCCACCATTTGCTGACAGGACTGAAAGCATTTACTTACCAGAAAAGGTATAATGGAGAGCAGTTAACCTTAATGACTGAACTGAACAATTGGTATACAAAGGAGGTTGGCTTGAGCTAGATGAAAATATTTCCTCTAGTTTGTTTATAGGGTGCTGGTGAAGTGGAGAGTGGAAAAACACCTGCAGTAGAACAAAAGAAACCTATGTTGGTATGGGGACATATAAACTTGAGATAGGAAGAAGCAGCTTTTGGCAGGAGAGTGGAAGAGATGAACAGGTTTATGTGGGGGAAGAAGTGGTTCCAGTTTAACATCAAAACCAACTGAGGTCAGAGAAGGCTGGTCGGGATAGAGAAAGCTCCTTGGTTTGGAAGAGAAGCCATGAGCTTCCAAGGAAGGATTCTGCACACCCGAGAGGGCTGTGCTCAAGCCCCCTCCAGAGTGGCAAGAAACACAAGGCATCAGAATACATACAGATGTGTTTATTATTTTGTCTAGATCTGTGTATTTCTTTGAGCTGTTAAGTAAAGAGCAATGGTGTTTTAGAATCTGTCTGTGGTTGTTGGCTTTCACTATCACGTGCTATGAAGAATTAAACTGTAAACCAGAAGACTCAAACCTTGAAATGGATTCTGGGAATTTTGCAAAATCTGCTAGGGAGGCTTGGCAAAACAGTTCTAGTTTCTGAGTCTAGCCCTTTGACCTGGGAGAGCCCCATTGCCCAGGTGTAAGATACTAGTTCTTCACCTGAAGTGCATGCGTAGAGGACCAAGCCAAGAACAGAGCCTAGACTCTGCTCAGTCCCAACAAGCAACTCAGGGGAGCCAGTATTTGGATCCCCTAACAGCAGTCTAGTAAGTGGCCAATAGATGGAGCTCAACCAGATTTGTGACATGGGCAGATACTTATGCTCACATGGAGCCCCACTGACTTCAGGGTACTCTCTGTTGGCCATGCTATCCAATGAAGGACTGTGGCCCAAGGGTGAAATTTACCCTTCTGTAGATGACTTACACAAGGAACCATGCACACCCAAGCCTCAGTCTGAGGGCTTAAATGAGTTATATACAATGATTACTAGGACTTTTATGTGCTTTATGTAAAAGGGGTATTTTTTTTCCCAGAGAAGAAAGTGGAAGGAAGAGTACATTTTATACTATATTATCTAGCCAAAGATTTGAGTATTTTTAAAAGAAATCTTATTACAATTTTGCAGTCTACACGCTAGTCTCCATAGGTGGCATGCTGTGCAACTTCTAAATCCATTTATGTATCACTGGGACCTTTCTTGATTTCTATTGCTGTGTAATACTGTAGATAATATTCCACATGGGAAAAAAAAAAAGATTTGCAGCAAATTCTGTTTGTGAGAAGAGGCAGACTCTTCTTCTCACAAATGGGAGGGATACCCAAGAGGACCATCCTTGGATTCAGTGAAGAACTTGTACATTTTTCAACAACTTGTTAACTATGATCACACATTTTACCAGTAATCTTGTAATCTGACATAAATCCATAGTATATTAAATCAGTGTGTTCCGTGGGACATTTCCATCATTTGTAAATGTTTGATATATTCTCATTTCAGTGGGTTTTTTTAAAATCCAATAAAGACCACAGATTGAGCAATAATCTACTTTGCATTTTGTATGCATTGCTATATTCTTTGTGTGTTGCTGGTGATTATTTTAATTCAAAGCAGGCATGTGTCTCAGTCTTCTTTGTCTGTCACAAAGTTTTAGTTAACACTAGCATTCATCCTGTCCTTTTAGCAAGGCCTTCTACAGAAATTCTCTGTGCTTGTGATCACAGGAGTAATTGCTCCCAAGGGGTGTTTTCATACCCTGGATAGTAGTGTTGCATACTTTAAAACAGGGGTGCCTGAGTTATCTCCAATGTATTTTACTTTCTTTCAAGTTGACTTATTGTACACGTGAGCACATATTATGGTGTAACTCCTTCCTTGGTCACAACCAAGATGGAGTTTGGAGTTCTCCTTTTAGGGTCTGTCTCTCAAAACACTTAGTATGGCTACTGGGTGACATTCAGCCCTGTGAAAGTCCAGTACGAGGCCTGTGATCCACTTATCTCCAACATAAGCTGTCAAGAGTTTATACTTAGGTGGTTATATTGACTCACTGCTCCAGGCTAAATTTCCTCTAGAGAGAGGTTGAAAGAGTTACTGGCTCAGTGGAGACAGTTACATTCAATTTTCTTCCCTCCCCAGTTCTTTAACATAAGCACCTCTCCCTTCACATATGACAGCTATAGGACTCCAAAGGATGCCATACATTTTTATATGGGAAGATTGTAGTGTAAATAAGAGAATTTCTTTTTTTTTGCTTAAAATTCATTTTTGCTTAAATTAAAAGAATATCGAATAAATACAATTCCACACTGTTCATACAAGTGTAAATACAAGTATATTCCTGTGAGATCCTCAAGCTAGTTTTTTCCCTAGTTTGGATTGAACCTCGAGCTGATTAGGAGCCAGAATTTCCATTCCATGGGAAATTCCAAACATTCATTTGTTTCAATTCCAAACAAAAAGCTGAATTTCTGAAATTTCCCACAAAATGGAAACTAAAAAGAAAAAAAAATTCAGGACCATTGAAACATTCTGGTTTTGATTGTGACAAAAACTTTAGTTTTTATAGCATTGTTTAAATACATTTTGTTTTAACTTTTTTATAGTCTATTAAATAATATATATTACTAATACATAATATATACTACAATAAAATTTAATATGAATGTAATATAAAAGTTGAAACACAATGAATCAGAATTACCCTATTAAAACTCAATGATTTTACACTATAGAAACAAAACCTGTTGAATTTTTTCTCTCAAAATATTTGTTGAAATCAACACATTCCTGTAAAATGTTTATTTTGATTAAACTGATTTTTTTTCAATGGAGAAGAGTTCTGTCATTTTTACATTTTTTTAAAAAAATGCTATGATTGAACCATTGCTTAAATACACATCAGTTATATTAGAATAGCCCCTTTCTAGTTCTAGGTCTTGAATATTAAACAGTAGAAGATAGAAATTAGGTCTGGCTGAACCAGTTCTGGTGAAATAGA